GTATATCCAGTGAAGCATGCTAGTTATACTCACTGTGGAACCTAAGGGGTAATCCTCTGCATTGTATAAGAATGCTTTTTGATCCTAACTTCTCTGATCCTCTTCTTACAATGTCCCCCTCTTATCTCCTGATAAGATATATCTGCACATACTCAGTTTAGTGTATATTACTAAAGAAGATTTTTTTTTTTTTCTTGGGAGAGTGCAAGTGATTGGCATAGGGCCAATCAGCACTGTCCAGACAGAGGTCAGGGGTTCTTCATCCTCCTAGAGTAAAATGAAAACTCCTCCTACAAGCTTTAACATGTGCTTGGCTGCAAACTGATAGACGTCACCAGACTGCTCTAACTGCTGATGAGAAAAGGTATTTAGCAGTTTATATTTACTAAAATAATTGCATTTCCATGTTCTGTGTACTGTGGGAGACCAGATATAGTGAATGCAGGGTCCTGGGTTTAGTAACACTTTAAGGGATCAGACCAAACTGGTCTGTCAGCTACAAAGGGTATCAGCTAGGCAATCCAATGGCCAGCTGAAGGAGTGCATACAGCAGGTAGACATTGCTGCCACAAATTGCAAGACAGTGGCTTGTTGTTGGCAACCTGAAACAGGAAGTGTTATTCTTGGCTGGATTTTCAGGAACAAAAGTTTGCAACAGACTTACAAAAATCAATTGGCCAAAAAAAAACTGTGTACACTGGTAAAACTGAATTTTTACCTTCAGACCCCATTTCTCCCATTCGGAGAGGCCAGGAATTGTAAAAGGTCAGCTGCCTGGTGTCTGAGGTTCCTGGGTTTAGTCTGTTTTCTGTGGTTCCCTCCTGTCCGGTCTATTTTGCCTTGGCCCCCTTTTGTTCCCCATGTTACATTTGTGCTTCTTCCCTCCTTTTTATATATTTTTTTTTTTTGGGGGGGGGGAGGCTTCCACAGAGTCCAGCCCCACTTCACATTTATCTAAATCAGTTCCCTGTCTCCTGAAGAAGTTCAGTCTTGCGAAACACATTGAGATTTATAACCTCACATCCTCCAGCTTTTTATTGACATCTTTGAAGACACCTTTAGAAATTGGATATGGTGTTACTATGTCTTTATTATGCTAAAAAATGTTCTTTAGACATTGCAGACGCCATGAGGTTAATGCAGGGTACATTGTTATTAATGCATGTTTGGATAGATTGCACTTTTTGCTGAATTTGCATTGTGGCACAATAAATGCAGTGGTTTCATATTGTCTGTGTTTGTTCCATTCCCCTTAAACTGAGTAGCACCTTGAAACTGTACTGGACAAAGCTGTCCTGCATTGGAAACTGTGTTTGTTTGCTATTTTGTTAAATAGAAGTTCTGGACCAGCTTGCTTGGACTGTTCCTGGGTGACCCTTTCCCGTCCATGGTATACAGATGCCAATACCAGCTGAGCATGTCCCCCTTACAACTTGGTGCTCCAATGTGGGCAGTTCCTCAAACAGAAAGATGCCTTTTGTTGAATAAAATGAAGGATCTTGTAAAACAGCTCATATTGGCAAATGCTAACAAGCAAGGGGCAAACTGATTAACTGTACAACAGGTTCAACAGCAAACTGTAGCCCACTGGCTTTCTTTGAGGGACAGCAGCAAATAACCCTGTCTTTATTGCAGCAGATGCAGGCTCTGTTAGAATAACAATTGGTGGTGCAGGGGTCAAGTTCTACGCCTTGGCAGCTGATGCATAGTGGATGGAGGATGATGTTGAAGCCTACCCTAGCATCTAGAGCAGTCTTTCTCATCCTTTTCAACACAGAAAAACCCTTGATATAACTTTCTGACCTCAGAGAACCCCTGATAAAAATGACTATATGCACAACTCATGATACATTTGTGTGATGGTCAGTGAGAAGAATGCTCCTTACCCTTGTAAACATTAGGAAGAACCAGCCTCTTAGAGTTAGTTAAAAAGATCAATGATGCCAGTTGGAACTTATCTGAGAGGCAGAAATTTCCCATTGCTCAGGGAACCCCTAGCAACCTCTGTAAGAACCCTAGGGTTTCATGGAACCCTGGTTGAGAAACACTGATCTAGAGAGTTGCTGAAAATGAAAGCTACCTGAGGAGCAGTGGGCTGATGTGCTAGCTCCCTTTTTAACAGGGGAGCCCCTACATTGACTTACCACTGCCAGATGCCAATGAGTTTCCTAAACTCAAAGGATAAATCTTACCTACAGGGGCAGACTGACCATTTGGAAACTCGGGCACTGCCCGAGGACTCGGGGTCAGTAGGAGGCCCCATGAGATGCCCCTAGTACCTTTTTCATAGGCTTTTTTGAGTTTGGGCAAGGACACAGGGGCCCCATGATCCCCTATTGCCCGGGGGCCCCATGAGTTGTCAGTCCGCCCATGCTTACCTATAATAACCTATGCATAACTCCTCCCAAGGCCAGGCCCACTGTTTGCACCATAGGGCTATCGAGAGGAGTGCTAAGAAAAGGTGCTGTGATGTTTCCAGGCTGCTATGTACAGCTCCTCTCACCAGCCATGATCTGCCTGCATTTAATAGAGAAGAATAGAAACCCAGTGATGATGTCACTCGGCTTCTGAGAAGTTCAAATCCCAACCACGGCACCACCAGCCTGGAGTTTGCATGTTCTCCCTGTGCTTGCGTGGGTTTCCTCCGGGTACTCCAGTTTCCTCCCACACTCCAAAGACATGCTGGTAGGTTAACTGGATCCTGTCTAAATTGGCCCTAGTATGTGTAGGTATGAATGTGAGTTAGGGACCTTAGATTGTACGCCCCTTGAGGGTTAGGGACTGATGTGACTGTAAAATATATGTATTCAAAGTGCTGCATAAATTGACGGCGCTATATAAGTAACTGAAATAAATAAATTAAACAACAGCTATTGGGGCAGCCTTTCTGCAAAAGAATTGGCATGCCCCTACTGGATTGTTCCTAGGTTGGGCCATGAATAGATCACTTAGTCACGAGACATTTTTGTGGGATGGGGGTGGGCATGTCTAATCTCGACTAACAGGTACTAGAGAAACTCTTGGAGGCTTCAAGCAAAGAAGTATTGAGAGCTTCTGCGGCAACAGATACAGTATGTGTTGATAGCTTATGCTGTTAGCTACCTACAGCTGCCGTTAGCTTTGTCATTTTCTTTAAACCACAGCTGATAATGAAAAGCTTGCTGGAAGACAAGAGAATTGCTTTCTAAAGGCTGGAGTAAATGAAAAGTTGAGGTGTGTTTCATAACAAGCAATCAACTGCGGCAGAACAACAACGGCTAGAATCTAATGTGCCATGGGCTATGCAGAAAACTTTTTATTTCCTCTAGCTTTTATAAAAACAGCAGCACAGTCAGGAATATGTAGCTATTACATTATACAGTACTTATTGCCCTTGAATGTGACAAACAACCACCCAGTTTTGCCAAGAGGTAAAAAAAAAAACTAAAGCACATGGGTTGGTTCTCCTGCAAATATCCAAATATTATGTTGCAGGAGCAATGTCCTATTTGACCACACACGTGGTTGACCTAGCTGGATGGGATCCACTGCTTTGGCACTTATCCTAAGTGTCTGGGCTACTTCTGACTCCAAAGGCTGAAAGATGCCTGAATGTTTAATAAAAATAATGTCATTATGCTGGTTACTAACATGCAGTTTTTGGAGGCTAATTTGTCATCTAATGCAGGGGTTAGAATTTCGATTCCAGACCTACTAGCCAGTTACAAAACTTACTTTCCACCAGTTGCCCCACCCAACCTTGCCTAGGTCCGCCCCCCCCAACCCCACCCCATCCAAACCACACCCCTGGCCCGCCCCCAGCCCTGCACCCAACCACCGCACCCCCTTAAAGCTTATGAAATTAAATTTTTCTTTAGAATAAAGAGTCCAATATATAAAACTGTACACAGTAATGTATATCCCTGCTCCCCTGTACTCCATTATAGTGATGTGACATGTATACAGTATGTATATCCCAGCTCCCCTGTACTCCATTATAGCGATGTGACATGTACACAGTAATGTATATCCCAGCTCCCCTGTGCTCCAATATAGTGATGTGACACGTACACAGTAATGTATATCCCAGCTCCCCTGTACTCCATTATAGTGATGTGACATGTATACAGTATGTATATCCCAGCTCCCCTGTACTCCATTATAGTGATGTGACATGTATACAGTATGTATATCCCGGCTCCCCCGTACTCCATTATAGTGATGTAACGTGTACACAGTAATGTATATCCCGGCTCCCCCGTACTCCATTATAGTGATGTGACATGTATACAGTATGTATATCCCAGCTCCCCCGTACTCCATTATAGTGATGTGACATGTATACAGTATGTATATCCCGGCTCCCCCGTACTCCATTATAGTGATGTAACGTGTACACAGTAATGTATATCCCGGCTCCCCCGTACTCCATTATAGTGATGTGACATGTATACAGTATGTATATCCCAGCTCCCCTGTACTCCATTATAGTGATGTGACATGTACACAATAATGTATATCCCAGCTCCCCTGTACTCCATTATAGCGATGTGACATGTACGCAGTAATGTATATCCCAACTCCCCTCTACTCCATTATAGTGATGTGACATGTACGCAGTAATGTATATCCCAGCTCCCCCGTACTCCATTATAGTGATGTGACATGTACGCAGTAAATGTATATCCCAGCTCCCCCGTACTCCATTATAGTGATGTGACATGTACACAGTAATGTATATCCCAGCTCCCCCGTACTCCATTATAGTGATGTGACGTGTACACAGTAATGTATATCCCAGCTCCCCCGTACTCCATTATAGTAATGTGACGTGTACACAGTAATGTATATCCCAGCTCCCCCGTACTCTATTATAGTGATGTGACATGTACACAGTAATGTATATCCCAGCTCCCCCGTACTCCATTATAGTGATGTGACATGTATACAGTATGTATATCCCAGCTCCCCTGTACTCCATTATAGTGATGTGACATGTACACAGTAATGTATATCCCAGCTCCCCTGTACTCCATTATAGTGATGTTACATGTACACAGTAATGTATATCCCAGCTCCCCTGTACTCCATTGACTGTGTCCGCAGTCTCTGGTCATCTCCTGTACTGTGTCCACAGTCTCTGGGCATCTCCTGTACTGTGTCTGCAGTCTCTGGTCATCTCCTGTACTGTGTCCGCAGTCTCTGGTCATCTCCTGTACTGTGTCTGCAGTCTCTGGTCATCTCCTGTACTGTGTCCACAGTCTCTGGTGTCACGTAACTGTTTTTGGTTTGATTATATTATTGAATTAAATTTATTATTATATTATTTTTTATGATTATTTATTAAATTATAATTTATGATTTCATGTTTCAAGTTTTATCATACCCGGGATGTTTACTAGACTCTTGTTTGGACAGATTTCAGTGAGTTATTCCTAAAAATTACAGGCCTACAATAAAAACAATACATATTTCCATGCAAAAAAATGTACCGCTTTGAGCACAGAAATATGGACATAATCAGACCGCTAGGGAGGTTAAAGTGTTGTGGCCCCTCGGGGTCGCCTTAAGGAGGTGAGGAGGCACTCTAGCCATTTTGGGATAGTGATACACCAGAGTGTCACACAAGCACGCATCATGTTTGGAGTAGAAAACTGAATCACTACTATTGCCTGAAATTGCACATTAATGCACTATCTTTGCACTTAATTGTGGACTTTTATTCATCACGTTGCTGTATAGATGTATACACTTACTGAGTTTGCTACTTGAGCACTTGTCACTTTAGCAATAGAGTGTGATATATTATTCCTTCATCCGTCTTTTACCCCGCTCAGGGTCCCCTTTTTTGCACTACAATTATAGGTCACTCATTGATTGCACTTTATTACCGGATATTCTCTATTGTCAAGCATGATATAGAAGCACCATTCTAAATTTTTCATGTACATGCATGGTCTGCCTTTTGTTTGTGATTTATATGTTGGTATATAGGATTGTGTTATTTACTTGTTGTTAGTTGTGTATGTGTAGCGCTTCACCAACATTTGAATTCATCTCCTGTACTATGTCTGCAGTCTCTGGTCATCACCAGTACTATGTCCGCAGTCTCTGGTCATCTCCCGTACTATGTCCCCAGTCTCTGGTCATCTCCTGTACTATGTCTGCAGTCTCTGGTCATGTCCTGTACTGTGTCCGCAGTCTCTGGTCATCTCCCGTACTGTGTCCACAGTCTCTGGTCATCTCCTGTACTATGTCCGCAGTCTCTGGTCATCTCCTGTACTATGTCTGCAGTTTCTGGTCATCACCAGTACTATATCCGCAGTATCTGGTCATCCCCTGTACTGTGTCCGCAGTCTCTGGTCATCTCCTGTACTATGTCCGCAGTCTCTGGTCATCTCGTGTACTGTGTCCGCAGTCTCTGTTCATCTCCTGTACTGTGCCCGCAGTCTCTGGTCATCTCCTGTACTGTAGGGAATGGAAGTAGAAAACAGTGCGGCGCTTATATAACCTTACAGCCCTAGATGTAATACAAATGACTTATCACATATAACTATTGAGTGATATATGCGTGATACACACAATAGAGTGACTAAAACACAATGACATGAATAGTGTGAAAAAATAAAGTCATGCAGGTGTACACTGCAAATGCCAATCATCAGACAGGTGGAGTGCCCCCCTCCTCAGATAGATGGAGTGCCAATCTGTCGACACTACAGGTGCCAATCCTCAGACAGGTGGAGTGCCCGCTCACCTTCCTGCCCAGGCCCCACAGGACCAACGAGCCTTGGGTATATAATCGCTCTATACCCCTGAGCGTGGATGGATCCCTCTGCTGATGGATTCCCCGGATGATAGTATTAGACTTCTCCTCCTCTTAGTTCCTATGCAGATCGTTGGTGGTATCGGTAAGTCTCCCCCCCTCACGAGCACAAATGAGGAAAGAGAGCTTGCATAGTGTAAAACCACTTTATTCAAACAGTAAAAAGATGAAATACGTACTCACATGCTTCTCAAACAAATCAGGCCTTTACACCACTCAGAGGGTGTACTGTATTCGGGACCAGGTGCACCAAGATGGCGCCCGCGCCGGATAAACGTCAGAACGTTCGGTCGGTGAAGCTCCTCCCCCTGGCGTGTCTACGCGTTACGTCACTCACACACGTGACTTCATCAGGATCCATCCACGCTCAGGGGTATAGAGCGATTATATACCCAAGACTGGGGACATAGTACGGGATCCATCCACGCTCAGGGGTATAGAGCGATTATATACCCAAGGCTCGTTGGTCCTGTGGGGCCTGGGCAGGAAGGTGAGCGGGCACTCCACCTGTCTGAGGATTGGCACCTGTAGTGTCGACAGATTGGCACTCCATCTATCTGAGGAGGGGGGCACTCCACCTGTCTGATGATTGGCATTTGCAGTGTACACCTGCATGACTTTATTTTTTCACACTATTCATGTCATTGTGTTTTAGTCACTCTATTGTGTGTATCACGCATATATCACTCAATAGTTATATGTGATAAGTCATTTGTATTACATCTAGGGCTGTAAGGTTATATAAGCGCCGCACTGTTTTCTACTTCCATTCCCTGCTTATTGTGGGTGCTTAGATTGTGGCACCAGTAGTGCTGGCTGCTGTATTCTAGTAGTTTATTTGGAGGCGCAGGAGATACCTCTTTTTATCTCCTGTACTGTGTCCGCAGTCTCTAGTCATCTCCTGTACTAAGTCCGCAGTCTCTGGTCATCTCCTGTACTATGTCCGCAGTCTCTGGTCTTTTCCTGTACTATGTCTACAGTCCATTGGTTCAGAATATTTTTTTTCTTGTTTTCCTCCTCTAAAACCTAGGTGCGTTTTATGGTCAGGTTAGTCTTATGGAGTGAAAAATACGGTATGTAAAACCTTTATCCCAAAATATTGTTGCTGTAACTGCTTAAAAAGTGTTTGCTGGAGTTTGGATTCAATTTTTTAGTGTACCTAAATCTGCCACTACATCTAACATTCAGCTAACCACAGATTAACAATGCTTCTGTCCAAAGGTGTCTCTGTTGCTCCTTCATCCAGAGTGTAGGCAGCCTAAGACAGGAAGTGTGTTATTGACCAGATCCCCAGGTAAAAACTAAGGGAAAAAGCATAAAAAAGAAAACGAATGCAGCCACCACATCTAAGGATAAGCTGCAGTATGTAAAATTTTAGATTTGGGATGGCACCTCCACCAAAGACAGAACACATTTTTTAAAGCAGAAAATTTTTTTATTCAGTGTGTATTTTTCATAGTCAAGAAGTCTTGGGTACCAACTGCAAGTTGTAAACCAACAATTCTTTTAATAAATGCAGTGCTGAATACCTCCCCTATTATACATTTTTTAATAGAAATAACTACGAGAATCAGCTTTTTTTCAATCTTGCATTGGCTTGGCTCCATGCCAGTGTTGCATGTGAGATAAATTCTAATATTGCAAGCTCTTTGATGGCAGGGACTGATGTGAATATACAGTATGTAAAGCAATTTGTACATTGTTAACGCTATATAAATGCCTATGATAAATAAATCAGTTTGATTACAACAGTAAGAAAGAAGTGTGAAGTAATATATTACTGTCGTCTGAAGGTGGACAGTCTTAGTAATCAAAGTTCTGTTCATTCGTTTTTAATTTTCAACTGCCTATGAGATTTTACCTAATACATTTAAGTCAATATACCATAAAACCATTTGATGAAAGATTTCATTAAAAGCTTTTGTGTGCACCAATAGGTTTTAACACATTTTTAATGCTTTTTTTCACAAGATGGCAAAGTTATTTGTGACTTGTCACTCTGTTATTAGGTTTAAAAGGTGACATCACTACATGACACCTAGTGAAGAAAAAACAGAATCTGTAAAATGTACATCCCTTTGTAGAGCCTCTTCCACTGGGTTAAAAGTGATTGTCCCATATATGGATTGCTCTAGAATATTCTACCAAATATTAAATGATTGCGATTAAAGATGTGGTCACATGCAGTTCCTATACAACCACCTCTGGTTTTCTTTGTATTATCACCATTTTACACTCACACCAATATTCACACTGTGATACACAGTAGGGTCCACACCGTTTCCTCTCCTTGCAGCAATGACAGCTCAGACTAGAGGGAATCTGATTGGTCAGCACCGTCCATTAACGCAAATCGCACTGCAAAGTATTGGTACTCAGTATCGGTGAGTACTTGACTGAAAGTATTGGTACTCGTACTTGCCGATAAAAAAACGGTATTGGTGCATCCCTACTGGTAAGGGAACAGCTTGGATAGGAAAGAGAGACAGAGTGAGGGAGAATTAACTGTAAAGAGACTGTATGCTGTATCAACTGAATACATCTCAGTAAACATTCCAAGTTAACTTAGAGATGCCTGGTCTGAAGTTCTTACAAAGGGGGTTGTATGTAATAGCATATCAAAAGAACAGGGGCTTGTAACAACTGGAGATGAAGAAGAGAGGAGAGAAGGCCACCATACAAGTGTTAATCGTGCAAGGAGTTGGCAGGAGATATGGCTAACATGCTGTTGCAATGAGTAACCAGTGACTGGTAGAGAATGTTATATCAGCCAGCCAGCAGAACATTAGTTCTTGGCCTGGGAGACGGTAGCCCCGGTAGTGAAGGAATTGGTAAGCCAACTTCCTCCCTAGTGAAAAAAAGTTCTGGTTGGCCTCATAACCAAAGAAATTACCTTTGTTAGAAATTTCCTATGAAAACCATCTTCACAATGAGGGGATAGAGCTTACACAGCTAGCGTGTGTCATGCTAATTCAGCGCTTAATCAAACAGATTAATTGCTGAATTAGCGCAAACCGCGTTAGCTGTGTATGCTGTATTCTCTCGTTGCAAAGATTTTTTTTAATGAAGATTTCTATAAAGGTGATTTCTTTGGATGTGTGGCCAACCAAAACTTTTCTTTTACATGAAGACTGTACTGGACAGGGCCTGCACCCATTAGTGTGGTAGTGGAGGTGGAACAGGAGGAACCTGGAGTGGTGTGCTTGCTGTCTCTGTGTTCCTCCTTTGTGATTGGTACCCCACACATGGGGCTGACATCGTGGCACAGGGAACCTATGCACCTAGCCTAGAGGTATGGGAAGAAGGATAGATCAGTGGTTCCATTCATGTGTTAAAGTTCAATTAATAAACAGAGGTCTGTACCATCATTGAGGTGGCAATCATGACTGTTCAGGTGGAGCAGAACACAGGCTCCGCAGTTTCCCTTTCAAAATGTAGCATTCGTAGAAGAAAAGAAGGTGTACAGTGACACGGCTTACAGAGACAGAGATACTGTGGGGCCTAGTGCATGTTGATATCCGCTATATGTTGTAAATGGGCCATTAAGTGAATAAAAGAGGAAAAGGGGAGATGAGCAGTAAGAACTGCTTGTGTTGCTCATCTTAGAATTGAATAGTAGTAAACTGTAAAAAGTTTTCAGACTCCCCAATCTATTACTCCCTTCCTCCACAGAGATCCATAGAGATAAACACCACTGTAGATTGCCTAGAAACATTCTATCTCATTTCCACAGCAAACCTTTTGTTTGAATGAACTCTATAGCAAATGAACTGTGCAGGATGAATCAGCCTGCATATGTAGTAAGCAAATATGTAGACATGTAATTAATTACAATAAACAAAACTTTTTTTTAATTAAAAAATTCTAAAAATTAGAAATTCAGTACATATATCCTGGAATCACATAAAAGCATTAGGTCATTTTACTAATGTTTGTCCTCTGCTTCGCTCAGTTAATGGCACGTAAATGAAATTCACCTTTTTTTGTTTGAAAAGTGACTTGGTTTGCAAACAATGAAACTGTATCAAACATTCAATAAATCTGCCTCCAGCAAAGAATGTACTAGTAACAATTGCTTGTACTTTAGAGTTGCCTTCTGAAACCACTGCATAAATAAATGATAAAATGTCACTAGCGCCACAAGATGTGACAGTTAAATGTGCTAGCTGGTCAGCAGCCATTAAAGTAGATTTGGCAGTAGGCTTGGCTGAACCTGTTTTGTTTATCAACACAACCAAGCACAAAAGAGTTTCAGGACTGGGTTATCATAGCAGGGGGTAATTTGACAGTGGCCAGCAGACACAATAATCTGTTCCATCTGTAGAGTACCTTGCAGTCAAACAAACCTTTAACATGTACATGTGTCAAAGGATTCTGGTTACATTCAGTAGAAAATCAGGTTTGGGAT